CTAGCGAATAAAATTATTTTGTTATCTTAAAATTGTACAATTGATCCCAAAGTCACGCATATCGTACTCAATAGATTGTTCTTCAAGAATATGGGTTGTTTTAATTCCCAGTGTTGCTTATTTTTTGTCCAGCAGCCGCGAAAGTTGAGTCAAAATTTACGGTCGCGAACGGCGTTTTCGGGAGTGTTTGAAAAATTCCATTTTTCTCCATAATAAAGCGTTATTTGATCAAACCAACTATACAGCGATTCTTAGGATACATTACCCTAACTAACTTGAAAGTATGAGCGAAATCGATTTTTCGAAGTTTGCCACGGATTTTGAATTTTGCTTGATCGTTACAGACAGTCACTCTTAAGCTTTATATGACATGCCCGAATATTTAATACATGCTTACACTTATAAAAAACGTTTACATTTATAAAGCATTTACACAGTTGTAATACATATTTACCTTAATAAAGACATGTTCGTGTTCACACTTATACACTCAATTGAAGAATCGTTGTCGGGTTCAGAAACATATAACATGAAAGCTGGCACATGGGAAATGACATAATTATATCATAATTTATTCATTAGCGCCATCCTTGCAGTCGGTTTAGAATGCCAAACGCGTATTAAAAACAGTGGATGATGCCACGGTTCGCCGGTCACACCATGCATCTAATCAACGTACTTCCCATGTGCCATTTCGGTCTCAGCTTCTATGTTCTATGTTTCTGAACCCGACAACGATTCTTCAATTAAGTGCATAAGACGAATTTTTTTTATATTACGACTCGTGTGTCATTAGCTTTGTGTCTTCACTAGATTAAAGTTAGTACCTGATTTGCGTATTATGAGTCGCTGATTCAATAATTACTTCAATAATGCGAAAGTGCTGTTTACATTTTTTTTAAATATTAGATCTTAATTCAGTAACAAAATGCACTCCAGTGGTCGAAAGAGCAAAACTTGGTAACCGCAGTAAAAGAGTAAAAGCCAACGTATCGCAAAACACGGGTTCAATTCAGAGGAGGATACGCTTCAATTGAAGGTACGAAAGATAGATATCTCATCTAAGTTGGACTCCATTAGCCCACAAAAACTCACGATCAAATTGATATCCTGTTGCTTGATAATACCGCTATAACTAAAGTGAGTGAATACTGAACTCTTCAGTATTGAAACTCTAAATGATCATGAAGACCCGATGAAGACAATTTCCAATTCAAGGTGGATCCATGGGGTTTTCGTGGCTCGCTACCTTCCAATTTCAAATCGCAAATACGCGGACGCTAACAATTCATTGGGGGGGGGGGATCGTTGGAGGTTTTAAGGAAAGATGAAAATTTCGAAGGATTCTGTATGTAAGCGCCTTCACGGTCGCATGCTTTTTTCAATAGCTCTACAAGATTTTTGAGTTTTTAGTATAGATTTAG